ATGAAGTCTCACCACATTGATCAGACTGGTCTTGAAGTCCTGGCTTCAAATGATCTTCCCTCCTCAGCTTCCCAAAGTGCTGGGATTACAGATATGAGCCACTGCGCCTGGCCAAAAGGGTTCGTTTAAAAAAAAAAAAATCTTAATTTTTTTTTTAGAGTTTTCAGAGACTTTCAAGCAGAGTAAATATGCCAAGTGTTTATAGTTGTGGAATCACCTGTTCTGCCTCTGAGTTTTGGGGAGAATAAAGGAAGTTCATTCTCCTAGTGGCTTTCTGAGGCAACCCAAGATGCTGGTGATCATTTTGGTTGTTCTCTTTGTCCTCTTTGCTACCAGAGAAGGTCAAATCCACCTATATGGGGTAGGATAAATCAACAGAGTGAACACAAAGAATTCTGGCCATCATGTGGCCAGGATGGCCAGATCTACTTGGCAAGCTAAAGCATGTATGTAAAGATTTAACTATCCATAAGGCATTGAAGTTAAGTGTCCAAAGTAAAGGGTGTTCATGCTGTAGGCATTAAGAAGCGTGGAAGGCACCTCTAACTGGAAATAGTCCTAGGTTTTTGGGAGAAAGTGAAATTTCACCAGAACTTTGGCTGCTGGTCACAACTCATAGGTAATAAGGTGTTTGGGAGTGCGATGGGAAGAAAAACAGAGCAAGCAAAGCATAGAGAGGTGAAAGCACAAGGCAGGTGCAGGGAAGCACAGATAACACAGTGTAGCAGTCATTTGCAGTGGCTTGCACCACATATCACCCCCTTCCCACCTAATTTAAGGTCAAGTGAGTTAGACAATTCCATGTACATTGACAGTGTCCCAACTCAAGTGTATACTATGATGTTGCTCTGATTTTTGGCCTCAGGGCTTCCTCTGATGTCTACAAAGTCTGCTTAACACCGCAGAGACTTTCCATAAGAATGGTGGAGTCCATGTTTGTGGTGACAGCCTTCAACTAACGGAGGTGGAAGACAGTGGAAAATGTCCCAGAGTTGTCACAGGGACAATTCTGACATGCGTGCTACATGGCTTCTCAGAGAGACCCACTGGGACTGAGTCTCATTGCCCACAGTTTTTTCCAGCTCCACCATGCATCCCTGCATTGGCTGACCCTCTTCCCCTGTTCCGCTTCTGTGACCCACATTCTGCTTGCTGAGAATTGTGAGAACCCAAACTAAGACAACCATTTTGGTAGAAATGAGAAAATATTCCAGGGAAACAGTGAAAAACAAATGCAGATTGACAGGTTTACAAAAAGACTTTCTTACTAATTAAAAAAAAAAGAAGTATATTTCCCTATTCGCTTTCTGCTTGCTTTTTCCTTGCTGTTATTTAGAAAAGTAAAAATGAAAACAATACTTTTAGATTACAATTCACATGGAACTAGGCTTGTCCTATAGTTTACAGTCCTTATGGATTCTAAGTTTAAGGATTGTGTCCCATTATATCTCCTTATTGCAGTAAATGACAATCTATTCTTCCTGTTATTCAGGACAAAAATACTGGGGGGTAATCTCTGATTATTTTCCTTTTCTTGCAACCCACTTCTGATCTGTCAGAAAATCCTGTTGGATCCACCTTCACAATATATGCAGAAGCTGGATGGCCATTTCTCAGTATCTTCTCTGCTGCTGCTCCGGTTTAGGCCATAGTTGTCTTTCACCGGCACTGTTGCAAGAGCAATCTGTTTGGTTTCACTGCTCCCGCCCTTAGGTCCCTACAGTTTATTCTCAACAAAACAGGCAAAGTGATTCTGTTAAAATATAAGTCACACCACACCCTCCCAATGTCCTACACCCTCCTTTGATTCAGCTTTGAGTAAAAGCCAACGTTCTTACAATGACTGAGTAAATGCTGAAGTTTTGGCTTGGTCTTTCACCTCTTTCCTTCCTTGACCCTTTTTCTTAGTGCTCATCCCCTTGGTTATTCCACTGCAGCCCATGGGTCTCATGACTGAACTCTAACAGGCCAGTGTCCTCCCCACTCAGGCCAGCATTCTCCTAACTCAGGTCAGCATTCTCCCAACTCTTTGCACTTAGGTAATCTCACACTGGAGGGCTCCTCTCATCTCCCATAACCACATAGCTCACTCCCTCACCTCCTGGGCTGTTTGCTTACCTGTCATATTTTTTAGACAGCCCTTCCTTGGCTTGCCTATCTGAAATTGAAGCACCTACCTGAACAAATCCTTTCCTTTTGCCCTGCTTCATTCTTCCCTTTGGTGTGTTTTACTATCTAATAAGCATGTATTTTATTCATGTACATTTTTTTCTTCCTTCCAGGAGGCAATCTCTATGAGGGCAGGTGTTTTCTCTTTTGATGGGATTGGGGGAGGGGAGGTATCTCTATTGTTCATTGTTCTCTTTCCTGTCCAGAATAGCATATATACACCATGATGGCTAATTTTAGGTGTCAATTTTATTGGGGTAAAGGATGTCCAGATAACTGGTAAAACACAATTTCTGGCTGTGTCTGTGAGAATGTATCTGGAAGAGATCAGTGTTTGAATTGGGAGTCTGTGTAAAGAAAATCACCCTTACCAGTGTGGATGGGTATTATCCAGTCTGTTGAGGCCATGAATAGAACAAAAGGGCAGAGGCAGGTCAAATTAGCTTCTGTTTAGTTGGGACACTCATCCTCTCTTGCCCTCAGACATTGGTGCACCTGGTTCTTAGGCCTTTTGACTCAGACTGAATCACACCACTGGTTTTCCTGGTTTTCCAGCTTGCAGATGACAGACCATAAAACTTCTTGACCTCCATAATCTCATAAGCCAATTTCTATAAGTTTCTCCCTCTCTCTCTCTCTCTCTCTCTCCCCGCCTGGAGAACCTTGGCTAATATACACATACACCATGATTGATAGTGGATGACCAATAAATGTGTTCCAAAATATATGGATGCCCAATAAATATGTGTAAATATGGAAACTCAATAAATAAATAAATAAAAATGAAAGCATGGATATGTGACTTTACTTAGCTTTTCTGAGACTCTATTTAATCTCTCTTAAGCTCTATATTTTTCAGCTGAAGGTGGGGATCCAATACCTAACTCAAAGGAGTAAATCAGATAATGTATTTAAAGACCTTAGGAGAGAAAAAAAACCCTCTCCCCTAAGGTATTTAGATAAATGATTGAACTACTACTTGTCAGAAGTTATGTTCTGATTTTTAGTTCAGAAACTGAAGTCCTGAGATTTCTATCTTAAACCATGGAAGGATACTTTTAGAAGCTTTATAATTGAAGTCTAAGATCATAAAAATAACTTCTTTTGTAATTTATTTTTCTCAGAAAAGCATGTGGGGCTCCCTTGGCATCTTTGACTTGTAGAAAGTGTAATATGGAGTTTCCAGACTAGAACACAAGCTCCATAAGAAGAGGTACCTAATTATCTTGTATGTTCCTAGTGACTGCACCTGGTGTATAATAGGTTCTCAATAAATATATGTTGAATGAATAAACAAAGAAAATGTTAAGTTTTTTCCTCCATTTAAGATGTACCAAGAGTGAAGCTGAGACCTAGCAAGATCTATGAACTCTTTCCTCTAATTTCAATTTTTAAACATTTTTGTGAGTATATAGTAGATGGATATATTTATGGAGTACATGAGATATTTTGATGCCAGCATGCAATGTGAAATAAGTACATCATGGAGAATGGAGTATTCACCCCGTCAAGCATTTATCCTTTGAGTTACAAACAGTTCAATTACACTCTTTAAGTAATTTTAAAATGTACAATTAAGTTATTATTGACCATAGTCATCTTATTGTGCTATCAAATAGTAGGTCTTATTCATCCTTTCTATTTTGTTTGTACCCACTAACTATCTCCAACACCCCACCACCCCCCTTTACCCTTCTCAGCCTCTGGTAACTATCCTTCTACTCTCTATGTCCATGAGTTCAATTGTTTTGGTTTTTAGATCCCACAAATAAGTGAGAACATGTGGTGTTTGTCTTTTTGTGTCTGGCTTATTTTAGCTAACATAATGATCTCCAGTTCCGTCCACATTATTGCAAATGAGAGGATCCCATTCTTTTTTTGACTGAGTAGTACTCCATTGTGTATGTGTACCACATTTTCTTTATATATTCATATGTTGATTAACACTTAGGTTGTTTCCAATTCTTAGCTGTTGTAAACAGTGCTTCTACAAATATAGGAGTGCAGATATCGCTTCAATATACTGATTTCCTTTCTTTGGGGTACATATGCAGCAGTGGGATTGCAGGATCACATGGTAGCTCAGTTTTTAGTTTTATTGAGAAACCTCCAAAGTATTCTCCATAATTGTTTTACTAATTTATCTTCCCACCAACAGTGTATGAGGGTTCCCTTTCCTTCACCTCCTTTCCAGCATTTGTCATTGCCTGACATTTTGGATATAAGGCATTTTTACCAGGGTGTGATGATATCTTATTGTGGTTTTGATTGGCATTTCAAATGCAAATCAAATGATGATTTGACATTGAGCACCTTTTCATATGTGTTTGCCATTTGTATATCTTCTTTTGAGAAATGTCTATTCAAATTTTTTGCCTATTCTTTGATCAAATTATTACATTTTTTTCTATAGAGTTGTTTGAGCTCCCTACATATTCTGGTTTTTACCCTCTTGTCAGATGGGTAGTTTGCAAACACTTTCTCCCATTATCTGGGTTGTCTCTTCACTTTTGTTGATTGTATCCTTTTCTGGGAAGAAGCTATTTAACTTGCTGTGATCCCGTTTGTCCATTTTTGCTTTGGTTTCTTGTGCTTGTGGGGTATTGCTCAATAAATTTTTGCTCAGACCAATGGCCTAGAGACTTTCCCCAATATTTTCTTGTAGTAGTTTAATAGTTTGAGGTCTTAGATTTAGGTCCTTCATCCATTTTTATTTGATTTTTGCATATGGCAAGAGATAGGGGTCTAGTTTCATTCTTCTGCACATGGATATCAGTTTTCCCAGCACCGTTTACTGAAAATGGACTGTTTCTTTCCCTCCAGCAAGAAGACAGATGTTGACTTCCTCCAGCGTTGCTGACTCACCCCTTCCCCGATCTTTGATTTGGGTTGTGTTCCTCCCTAGCAACTTTTCTGATGTGTTAATGTCATTCATTCTCAGCACATGACTGACCCAGCATCTGTTCTTTTCCTAATGAATGAAGTACTGGGAGAGAAGGGTAGGTATTTACTATTTCCACTATATAACAGACTTATCTTTAGGGAGTGATTGTACAGATATCAAGAGGGAGAAAGAGAATGAATTTAGTGGAGGTTTTTGAGTTGTTTGTATAAAACATTGAGCCCATTGAGCAGTGCTTGCAAATGAGAGAAATGGTTATGTACACAGTTGTCTCCTGAAGAAGAGAGAGCACCATCTACTATAAAATTTAAAAAATCAAGTATCCCTCCCCAGGGGATGTTTCCAATTTTTAGAGAATAGTTGTTCTTATTCATGAGTAACATGTAGTATAGAAATGCAGAAGTCTTTTAGTTTCAGTGGTTGAATCTGGATTAGTTTCTTTTGCATTCCTAAGATTACAGTTTTAGTAAAACCAGCACAAAAATGTCTATACTGATGAGCATCTGACACTTCAGATCATTTGGATTTTTTCTGGAATTTGTGGTGGTTGGAGGGTAAGGGGGTGGAAGTGGCTTTTAAAGAGGACCTATTAACTATGGATTTTGGAAAAACGTATCATGATTTTGTTGTTTCATTTAATGTATACAAATTTACAAAAAAGTATAGTTTCAAGTAAGCAGAAAAAAGAGAAAAACATGACTTTCAAAATTAGCACTGTACCTTTTTAAGGGCCCTGATCTTTGCTAATTATAGTTATTTGTTTTAATGACAAATTTTAACCAGGGTATGATGATTACTGTGATAAATAGACCTCACATATATATGGTAATAGAACCTTATTTCATATTCATCTAATAGTAGTGGGAATGTGAACAAGTTAGCAGACAGCTCTCATCTACTCAGTCAGAGACCTAGGTTAACAGAGGTTCTACTACATATAGGCCTTGGTGTCTACTACAAGAAGGCCTTGTTGTTGTTGTTGTTTTTTCCTTTTAGGTATTCTATAGGGGAAAAAAGCAGAGCTGAGAATGCACAGAAATTTTCATGTGCTAAGTTTGGAAGTGGTATGTATAATTTCTCTTTATCTTCAATTGGTTGGAATCCCATTGCATGTTCCTATCTAATTTCAAAAGAGTCTAGATAAAGTAGTTGTTTAGCATGGGCTCCCTAGAAAATAGAATCTGAGGCAAGGACTAAGTGCTAATGCTTTGAGAGGTATACGTTCAGAGCAGCAAGAGTGAGAGGAAAGCGAAGTGAGGCAGGTAAGGATGGTAAGCCATACAAGGTACCATGTTGGTTGTTACTTCGCAACAATCTGGAAGAAATAGCAGGTCATGCAGCAGGTCAACCACTCAGACTGTATGGCAAAATCAGTAGCTAGAACATTCCAGTGGAGTGAGGGAAGTAAGAAGAATTTGTCTACCTGGCCCTCCCCCATTTATTGATTCCTACTGATCGAAGTTTGCCCTACAGGGTGTTAACTCCTCAACATTACGTGTTTGTATCATCAACCATCTTCAGCAGCTTCTCAGAAGTTAACACCAATACTGTCTGGTGTATTTCACCTGAATCTGAGTCAGATGGAAAATGGCAAAAGATAGAGGCTCTGGAGAGTGGCTGGTTACCCTCAGACAGCAAATCTTCATGAGTCTACACTGCATACGATGGACATGGTGGCAGCTGTCTCAAAGACAACTGAAACCAATACAATCTGAACATTTGGCAAAAAGACTTGCCTTATATAGTTCACCCCTTGCAACATTCAGATTCATTTGTGCCCTCTATTTATATGTGTTTCTTAATCTAAAATATGGGAGCAACTTTTTTTTTTTGTTAGAACAAGAGATGTCACATTCTCCTGGAAAGTGGAGATACAAGTTCAACTGCTGCATGGTTTGAAATTCCTTCAAAACTCAGGTTGAAATGTAATTGTCATTATGGTGGTATTAAGAGGTGGGACCTACAAGAGGTGATTAGGTTATGGGTGTTTCAACCTCATGAGTGGGTCAATGCTATTATTGGGGAGTGGCTTAATTATCACAGGAGTTTGGTCTCTTTTTTCTCTGTCTTGTACATGCACTTCCTCACCATGGGATGCCTTCTGCCATGTTATGATGCAGCAAAAAGAACCATTCCAGGTGCAGCCCCTCTATCTTGGACTTCCCAACCCCCAGAACAGTGAGTCAAATAAACTTATGTTGTTTATAAATTATCCATTCTGTGGTATTCTGTTAGAGCAACAGCAAAACAAACCGTCACAAAGTCACCTTCAAATTGCATTTTTCTAGAAGAATGAAGGCAAGAGAATCAGTTAAAAACAACTATGGTGTTGCTACAGGTGGTCTTGAGGCTATGATTGATATCATTTCTTTCCTCCACTGTCCATTACAGGTTTCAATCACCCACTGTCAATACTTCCACCGATATGCTTGCTTTTGAGGGTAATCCAGACCCTCATTCTGAGGATTCTAAGTCTTCTGTTCCCTGCTGTTATTGGGTTGTGGTTCTTATAATTGGCCAGTGACAGTTATTACGGGGCTTGAAAATACTAAGAGATGCCTTGGTGAATCTCCCGCATTCATAGACATGTTCACATTATGTAGATATACTTCTAACTTCTCATATACAACCTTGTCAAGGTTGATTATCTTAGCCAGTACAGTAACTCCTTTCTTTCACTACTGCTGTCAGGAAGAGTTGAAATTAGCCAAATGGTAAATGCACCTTCTAGTTCAGTGGAATCACCACTGTATCCCTGGCAAAAGTGTTCCTTCTCTGAGAATCAGGACCTGCAACTCAGCAGAAACCGAGGGTTGTGGTACAGAAAGCACAAATACTACAAGTGGGTTATTGAATGTAATAATGAGAGGGGGTATTTCTATTTCTACCTCTTTGTTCTTGGCCTTTGTATTCAATTATTGGAGACATAGTGTGTTAGTCTAATGTCTTCATCTATTTAGGCTGCTATAAAGAAAGTACCATGGACTAGGTGGCTTGTAAACAACAGATATCTATTTCTTGCAGTTCTGAAGGCTAAGTCCAAGATCAAGGTGCTGATAGGTTTGGTGTCTGGTGAGGGTCTACTTCCTTGTAGATGGGGCCTTATTTCTGTGTCTCCACATGGTGGAAGGGACAAGGGGTATCTCTCAGACCTCTTTTATAAGGACATTAATCCCATTCATGAGGACTCTGCCCTCATGACCTGATGACTTCTCAAAGGCCCTGCCTCCCAGTACGATCACCTGAGGGGTTAGGATTTCAACATATGAATTTTAGGGGGTGAGGAGACACAAACATTCAGACCATAGCAGTGCCATATGCCAAATATTAGGTTAGCACATATATACATATCCTCAAAGTCAGTGTCTTAAGTCTCAAGTGTGTTGTTTCTGAGCTGGCACTGTAGCTTAGCCTTTAACACATCATTCCATTGTTCTTTTAGGATGGCTGCTTCTAAGTGACAAACTCATTTGTTAAAGAGGCATGGTCGATTTTAAAAATGTACTTCCTTTAGCCAACAATAAAATAACACAAAACTGTGTGTGTCAATAATTTCGTAAGCCTTGAGATTCATGTGAAGAATATGAATATGATATTCTTAGCAGATAAAAATATTTTATATTTGAATAGAAATATAAGAAACCAACAAATTCAACTGCCCCATTTTACAAAAGAAAAATAAAGGCCCAGAGAGAAAGAGTGACTTAATAGCTAATTAATGACTGAATCTGTGCTAGATCCAGGCTTTCTTTCTAGATCCCTGAAAATATCATTATATCAAGCCAATTTTTAAGCAAAAAACATGGGTTTATCTGTTGAAAATTGAGTAGATTTCTAGATGCAAATCAGATTAGTTTCAAGGTAGCAAATAGCTTTGTTACCACTTTGCCATTATACATAGTAGAATTGTATTGTTCGTTCTTTGAAGTGGTTGCAGTTTTTCATGTAGAAGCAAGGGAAACATTCATCTTTGTGTAATAATTGCTTTTTACTCCTTCAGGGCCTTGTTCAAGGCTCACCTCCTCCAGCAAGCCTTCCTTAAATTCTTTAGTTTATGGCAACCTTCTCTTACCTCTCACAGAAACTCCTGGTCACCTTTTTATTACTTTCACTGCAAAACAATTTTTACAAGTGAATGAAAATTAAGAAAAAAATACCCAAAACCCTGTCATTTCAACACGTGAAACCAGTTTCATTTTTCAAAATTACATCTAGCCTTTGTATGCATATATGATTTGTATAGCATTGGAGATTTTTGTAATCAATGTGTAGATATATATTTGTAGTTTTTTCACCACTTGACATTAATGCATGATCACCTTTTAAAGTTGCTACGTAATTTTCATGATTTTATTTTTAATGTTGTTTCTCATTACCTCTTGGGTATTTCATAGGCATTTAAAAATTAACATGTCTTAAAGTGAACTCAGCTTACCGTTTAACACTGTGCAACTTTAGATGGAAAAAGGCTTCAACCTTTCTTTTGTTTACCATCCCTATTTCAAGTCAGTCTATAAGTCTAGTCCTTCTACTGTCTAAATATTTTATAATTATAAACTCTTTTTTCCAACTTTGTCACTGGATCGGGCTTCCTGAGGCTCACTAGTCCAATTGCAATAGGCTAATTCTGGCTACTACTAGTAGGCAGTCTTTATAGTTGGCTCTTCTGAAGGATGCCCAATAATTTGTTTTTAAATTAAAATTTGATCCTATTCTCTGCTTAAAAACATTCATTGGTTTTCCTTTGTGAAGAGGTTGTCAGTACTTAAAACTAGGGTTATTTTACACAAACATGTAGATTTCTGGTTTCTTAAGGAATTAAAAATCTGGCTGCAGTGTGCCTGCATTCCCGGATGGCAACAGAAGGGTGAAGCTGAGTAGAGGCTGTTCCTGCAGACAGGGCAAATGCTGGCAATTTGGCAAAGAGCCCCCCCAAATCTGTTTTTTGATGTTAGCTCCATGGTTCCTATGGGCTTTTGAGTTCAGGACTCCCTGCCTAAACTTTTCTGCATGGCACACAAGATTCTTATCAGAGCACCTGATGAGTTCTTTAGCCTTATTCTTCCATTAATCAAGAAACAGAGAGTGGCTCTTCAAATGTGCCTTGGAATGCTCCTCTCTCTGTGCCTCATCACCTTCATGTCTAGTGGAATCTCTTTTTCTTCCTTGAAGAATTTACTGCATGGTCACCTCCTTTATGAAGGTCTTCCTGACATCCCAAGCCTTCCAGGTAGCAGAAGGATCTAGAAAACAATTCCACTTCTCACTCTATTCTACAACTAGTCTTTCCCTTCTCAGGCTAGGAAGGCAGGCCAAGACACTTCCGCTTGCTGCTTCTCAGTGTTTCCCCTTCTTGCTTCATCAACTGCTCCTTTTTGTCAGTCTCCTTTCTCTGCTTTCCATCTTCCTAATCCTTCCTTTTCAGTTTAATTCAGCAAACTCATGAAGAGGGGCTGATAAAGGCACTGGATGCTGGAGGGGAGTTAGTGAAGAGTGAAGGGCTCCTTGTGTGGCAGGGTTTAAATCCTGGTGGGACAAATGGATGTCTGGTAATGACAGCATGACCAGGTGCTGTACATGATGTATAGACAAGGTGCTCTGAAAGGCTGGAAGAAGGGATTCTTTCTAGTCATCTTTGGCAAAGGGAAGGAGGAGGTGATTGCTTAAATTTAAAAGAATTTCTTACGAGGATAATGGAACCAGGTGTTCCTCATGACTTCATTTTATACATTCTTTTCATATCTACATAGCCTTCTTATCCACTCCAATATTTCATTTTAGAGTGTGGGAGTCAGGTGTTCTCTGGGTTTGAATTTTACTTCATTATTTCATATCCTTGTGAAATTAACAGGCTACTTAACCTCTCCATGTCTCAATTTCTTCCTCTTCAAAATGAGAGAAATAATAGTACCTACTTCATAGAACTGTTGAGAAAGTTAAATGAGATATTCACATAAAGCATTCAGAATATTGCCTTTCAAAGAATAAGTATGCAATGAAATTGAGGTATTATTAGTATTATTGTTTGGTAACTTCCCAATTTCTTATAATAATAGACTTGGAAGTCACCAGAACATAATGTGGGAGCACATGTTCTAATGTTCTAGTGACTTCCAAATCTATGATTATAACAATTTTAGCTGATATTATTAAGAGAAAGTCTTGTGCAGTGGTTAAGTATGTAGACTCAAGCCAGATTGCATGGGTTCAAATCTGTTACTTCCTGCCTTTGCAAGCTGCTTACCTTTTCTGCATTTGTTCCCTCATCTGGAAAATGGAAACAATAATAGTATCTATGATATAGGATTGTTATAAAGTGGGTAAATATATATAAAGTGTTCAGAGCAGTGTCTGGCACACAGGAGGTGCTACATTTTTTTCTTACTTATTTTTATTGAGATAGGCTAAGAGTTTCATATGTGTTATCTCAGGAATCCTGATCTATCTTTACACTATAGAAGGATAATAGTAATCCTTACTGTACAGATTAAGAGACTGAGGAATGGAGAGGTTAAGTAGTTTGCTAAAAGCACATACCTAGTAAGTGGGAGAACTAGGACTCAGAGCCAGATATTTGTGACTATCTCTCACTTCCACTCTCCTGACTGCCAAACACACACATCCTGGATACTTTATATTCAACATTTCCCAAACTGATCTCATCATATCCCCTTCTGAATCTGCTCCCTCCCAGGGCTCACTATCTTTGTAAATGGCGTCCTCCACACTCTAGTTGCCCAAGCTAGAGAACTTGGGGTTGTGCTTGATTATTCCTCTTCATCCTCACCTACTCAATCTACCACAATATCTATTCCTTCTAACTCCTAAGGGTTTCATATCTGTTCATTCCGCTACACTTTCACTGCTACCACCCTAGTCCAAGTCACCATCATTTCGAGTAACTCAATTATCCTCCAAGTGAGCTATATAATTGCTTAATGAGGCACAGAATATTATTTGCACCTGGATTCCTTTTAAACTACACTCTATCTTAATTGGAAGAATGATTGAAATAGAGAACCCTCCCTCCAACACTGACCCAATACTCAAGTCTTATCACGGTTGAGAATACTAGGTAATATCAAGACTTCAGGGCAGAGGGAAAGGTTTTTGTTTTTGTTTTATGAGTACAGGGGAAAGAATTCTGAGGTTAAATACCCAGCAAGGAAGAGTAGGTT